TATTATTATTATTATTATTATTATTATTATCATTATTCACCTGTATCGTGCATCCGTCCAGGTCTTTGGTGACGGTGATGTCCGAGGAGGTGGTCCAGATGCTCATGGAGCAGAGGTCTGAAGTGGAGGTCGTGGAGCTTTGGCGACGGTTTGCAGGCGGCCAGTCAATCCATTTATTCTGGCACCCCTTCAACCATTCCCAGGCCAAGGGGGAATCACCCAGCTGGATGGAGTTGGGGGGAGCAAAGGGTGAGGGAGAGAGGGGGAGGTAGAGGGGGGGATATGTTACCAATTCGCGTGAGGAGAGATGAGTGAGGGAGGAGGAATAAGACTCCGTTACATTATCAGCCTTTGGACGAACATGAAGGTGTCAATATGACGAGAGTTCCACGCTGTTCACATATATCTCTATATATTATATTTGTGAACGTTCATCACTTTGGTTGCCAAAAACTTCCTAACCACTTAATTTTCGAATTTGACCAAATGGTGGTTCAGAACTATTTATAGGGTGCACAGTTTAAATTAAGGAGCCTGAAGTCAAAAGTAGTTTGAATTTTAGTTTTTCTAAAGTTTCGTTTAAATCAAATATTACGAAAGTACGTCTTCTAAAACGCCATCGTAAACAAGTGAGGTTTCCTCTCACTAGCCGTGCGCACTGTTCATATGCCTTTGAATTTCTGGAGTGTACAATCACAAAAGCGGAAATAGAGAAACAATCTATACATCTGTTATATATTTGGCAACTTGGAAACACATGTGTTACTTTTTCCATAAAAACTGCGATAGCTACAGAGTTGAAAGTTGGCGAGTACCTGCTAAAAGATAGATAGGTCCATATGACGGAGCCCGATTTTGATTTATTCATTTCCTGAATTCAGAACGTGGATCAACAGAATGCCTCAAATCAAAGGATGGGAATATCATAATGGACAAAGACAAGATACTAGAACGTTGGACAGAATATATCAGTGACCTGTGCAATGACAAAAGAGATGAACAAAGAAGAGTGGAAAATAACAACGAGGGACCACCAATCATGGAAGAAGAAGCTATCAAGGCACTACGAAAGATGAAGAAGGGGAAAGCTGCAGGACCGGACAACACTACCACAGAGATGCTTAAAGCTTTAGAAGACTTTGGAATCACCACGCTGACAAAACTTCTTAACAACATGTATGCCACTGGACTTATTCCATCATACTTGTCAAAATCTATCTTCATAACTTTACCAAAGAAACCTAATGCAAACGAATGTGAAACGCATCGTACCATCAGCCTCATGAGCCACATAACACAAATACTACTCCGAATAATTATGGTGAGAATACGAAATAAAATTCTCCCAGAAATAGCCCAAGAACAATGTGGATTTATTGAAAGCAAAGGCACTGTAAATGCCATATATGTCATCAGAACAGCAATAGAACGTGCCCTAGAAGTTCAGAAAGATCTTCATTTATGTTTTATAGACTATACCAAGACATTCGACAAAGTTAGGCACGAAAAGATCATCGACATGCTGGAAGCCCTCAATATCGACGGGAAGAACTTAAGTATTATCAAGAACATGTTTAGGGATCAAACTGCTGCAATGAGAATAGAAAACGACATCAGCTAAAACATACAGATTAAAAGAGGAGTCGGACAAGGATGTGTACTTTCTTAAGACTTGTTCTCCCTGTATAGTGAAAATATCATGAGACACATAGAAGAAATGCCTGGTATCTCGATAGGGGGACATAATATAAACAATCTAAGATATGCAGATGACACAGTCCTAATAGCAGAAGATGAAGAACACCTGCAGAATCTATTAAATGTCATCGTACAAGAGAGTGACAACATGGGCTTAAGCCTAAACATCAAGAAAACCGAAGCAATGGTGATAAGCAGAAAAACTCCAACCCCAACATGCAATAACAAAATCAATGATACCACCCTCAAGCAAGCACAACATTTTAAATATTTGGGGACCATTATATCATCAGATATCACACTGGAATTAAAAGCCGCATTTGCCAAGCAAAAGCAACCTTCCACAAGATGAAACATAATAACAAACATCAATCTGTCACTGGAAACGAGAAAAAGAATACTGAAAAGTTACATTGAGCCAATCCTATTATACGGGTGCGAAGCGTGGACAATCAATAAACAGCTGGAAAGAAAAATTGTGGCAACAGAGTTGTGGTTCATAAAACGCATGCCACGTATCCCATGGAGAGCTAGAAAAACAAATGAAGAAGTCTTGACTGAAGCAAATCATAGAAGACAGCTTATGACGAATATAAGAAAGAGACAGGTAAATTTCTTCGGACACCCAATGCGGAAAGAAGCATTGGAGAATATTGTAACAACAGGCAAGTTTGATGGAAAGAGATGCAGAGGCAGACAGAGGGAAAAGATACTGGACAAGAAGACAACATGGCTAGGAGGAGCAAGAACAACAGACACCATTGCTGCAACGCAAGACAGAGTGAAGTGGATATCCATGATCGCCCACGCCAGTCGGCAAGGCACCGGATGATGATGATGAATTCAGAAATATACATTTGACAAAAAGTTCTCGCCCTTCTTTGGCCTTTGTGATTATTCCACTGAGGAACGAAAAAAAATCTGCGTAGCTGTACTTCACAACGGAAGTGCCGAAGTGATATTTCTCGAGGCACATTTTGTTTTGAGAGTATATAACTAGACCTTCTATTTTTTCATATTTTTAGATTTATTGCTCCATTCCAATAGAGTGTAAATATAGTAAGCCACTAACTTTAAATTGATGTTAATGCACCGATCATTCCTTTCATCGAAAGGGTGCCCACCGTAATTTACAACAATAATGATAAATATTATTATTATAGCTCGGACAGCCTTCACTGAAGGGAAAGGACTCTGCTACGACAAGATGAAGTCCAATATTATGATGAGTTATTTCTCTTAGCCAACAATTTTGTGAGGCAGATGGTCTTCAGGGTTGGTGTTTTATAGTACATGTATTATTATAGCGAGCCCGTGTGGCTGCATAGTGATGCAGCCGATTGATGTTTTGTTTTTGTAAGAGTTTTACGTCGCTTGCAACACAATAAGGTCATATCAGTGTCGAAGATTTGAGGTGTTACAAGAGAGAAACAAACACAAAAAAAAGAAAGTTGGGGAGATGAGGATGATAGATGCGTGTGTGTGTGTGTGTGTGCGTGTGTGTGTGTGTGTGTGTGTGTGTGTGTGTGTGTGTGTGTATGTGTGTACGTGTGAGTGTGTGTTTGATCAATGCCACTGTAATATATTTTTTCCTTGTTTTGTCCCATCATCCCGTCTAAACCTGTTCCTTCGTTCACATTCTCACTCTTATTAGTTTTTTTGTTACGATTTCTTTTTTTTTTCTTCTCGATTTTGTTTCTCAGGCACAGTTTGTTAGCGCATCAGGGCTCGATCCGCATGAAATCGACAGCGTGGGAGGTTGGCGGGTGCTCTTGTTTGGTTTG